TGGATATCCTGTGATGGCACCTGCTTTGAGAATCTGTAGCTGTATTTTGAGAATTGCCATTTGTCACAAGTTGCACCATTCTCTCTGTATGTTTACGTCCTTTGGACTGGCTTCTCCCAGGACTCTTGGTTATTTTGGGGGGGTTATTTTTGTGTACTGTACTATATTGTAAAAGGGATTTTAGCAGAGACTTTAGTCTTTGGGGTGAGAGGCTGTTTACTTTTAGGTGGAAAATCCATCTTCAGAACTTTGGACTATTTTCCTTCAACTCCAATGTATAGAAAAACCAAACTACGACCTCAGAGCAGAGTATTAATGAAAAGCACAAAAGGAACTTAAGTTCAGTGAGGGGGAATCTTAAAAAAATAAATAAGTTAAGGACATATTTTTCAAATTATGGAGTGCTGTCGAGCACCTTTGTCTCTCCCTCCCACTCTTTAAAAAAAAAAGGCATCTTGCCCCCCCTCCCTTTACTGTCTCCTCCTCTGGCAGCTGCAATACATTGTATTATTTTTGGGGAGTATATGTAGGAGAGCCCCTTCTCATTCTGAGAGTGTTGCTACTTTCAGGAGGAGGCTGGACTTTGACACTGTTACATTCTACAGTAGTCTTACTGTTCGTTCTCCTTTTCTTAGGACCCCCCCCCCCCCGGTGACTTTATTAATGTGGGAGTGGAACAGACACTAAAAGTTATCCTGACCTTTTTTGTGGCTATCTTTTTTTTTTGTTCCCCAGCGTAAAACGTTCTCTGTGTAACCTCCATTAAATTTGGTACAAAACCACTTGCCAGGGCTGTGGTGTCAGAAAAAAATAAAAATAAAATAAAAAAAGAAGTCCTCTCCCCTAGCATGGAAGACGAAGAACGGACTCCATTTGAGGATCTCTCCCTCATTACAGTTGATCAGGTATATGAAGACGAGCAGCAAAGTCAGTCCTCAGGGAATGTGCAGGCGACCTTGGAACGGACAGCTCACGGAAGAACCCCAACCAAACCTAAGAGGAGGCGTGTAGTGGTGATAGGGGATTCCCTACTGAGGGGAACAGAAGCAGTGATCTGTGGGCCTGACAAGATGTCTCGGGAAGGTGTGCTGTCTCCCCGGGGCTAAGATTCAAGATGTAACTGAGCGACTGCAAAGAATCATAAAACCCACTGACAAATACCCCTTCCTCTTGGTTCATGTGGGAACCAATGACACTGCAAGCAATAGCCTCCAGAAGATCAAAAGAGACTACGAGGCTCTGGGCAGGAAATTGAAGCAACTAAATGCACAAATTGTCATCTCATCTGTCCTCCCAGTTGAACGACGTGGCCCAGGGAGAGAGGGAAAAATATTGGAAGTGAACAGCTGGCTTCGCAAATGGTGTAAACAGGAACGGTTTGGATTCTTAGATCACGGACTGCAGTTTCTTGAAGATGGACTTCTGGCAAGCGATGGGCTGCACCTCACAACGGTTGGGAGGAATGTTTTTGCCAAAAATCGGCATAGCATAGAACTGGTGCTGGCATTGGGGCTAGAACCTGCCACTGCTGCTGCTTTGCAACCAAGTAAGGGATGCTTTGGTGGGGGTGGGGTGGCAAGGCAGGGTGGCACTTCCCATTTCACCTGATGCACCCCCCTACCATCCTGTTGTCATGGTGGCCAGCCAGATTTCTTATGGGGATGATGCATGCAGGACCTGAGCATAACTGTGCTCTCCCTGTAATGTTTCTGCATCCAACAGTGAAGGTAAAGGGTAAAGGTAAAGGGACCCCTGACTGTTAAGTCCAGTTGCGGACGACTCTGGGGTTGCGCACTCATCTCGCTCTATTGGCCAAGGGAGCCGGTGTTTGTCCACAGACAGCTTCTGGGTCATGTGGCCAGCATGACTAAGCCGCTACTGGCGAACCAGAGCAACGCACGGAAACACCATTTACCTTCCCGCCAGAGCGGTACCTATTTATCTACTTGCACTTTGATGTGCTTTCAAACTGCTAGGTGGGCAGGAGCAGGGACTGAGCAACGGGAGCTCACCCCGTCACAGGGATTCGAACCGCCAACCTTCTGATCGGCAAGTCCTAGGCTCTGTGGTTTAACCCACAGCGCCACCTGTGTCCCAATGAAGTCCCATTGAAGGTGGAACAACACAATTGTGGCCTTGTGCTTTCCCCTTTAATAGGAATCAGTGGGAGGGAACTGGAACAGAGCAGAACAAGTAAGCACTGGAAAAACCATGCAGATGCCAACTTTTGCTGTGGCAGGCTTGGATACGTGGTTCCTCCACCACAGATCCTCACGGATTGTCTTGCCATTGTTTCTGATGGTAGGTCATGGGGAGGGAGTATAGCTTAGGGACAGATGGCACATTTAGCATGCTAAAAATCCTTGGTTCAATTCCTGGCATCTCTGGAATGAATGATGAAGTCTATCTTACTAATGCCATAGGGTAGGCCTGATTTGCTGACAAAGTTTTTATGACAGCTTCCAGCAAATGTATAAACCAGAACGGCAAGCATTTTAAAAAATATTGCCTAAATATTAGACAGGATGAACAATAGTGAGCAAAGAACTCTTACTGGCATTGTCTATGAATTAGGGATTACAGGAATGTGGAAAATTCCCTGTGACAATGTTGTACATGTTCTGTCTTTCTGTTCATTAAGTAAGAATTACACGTGACAAGTTCTCTATTTTTAACTATTGTCTTAACTGTGGTCAGCAAAGTTCTTCTTTGACATCCTCACATGATGCGCAGTCAAGCTGCTGTTGAGCCAAATATGCTGTAGGGAGCAAAAGACTGCTGTTCACTGGATGGCAGCTATTGTGGGATAATGTGAGGTCTTTGACTGGGCCAGCAGTTGTTGCTGCTGACACTAGCAATGTGTAAAACCTGCCCTTAAATTCTGTGGCTGTTCCAGCCTTTTTGCATACTTGCATTGCACTTTACAGAGACTTTGTAGGGGAAATTGGTGCTTCACAATTCAGTCACAATGCATTTAGAGGATTACATTCTTCCACATGAATCTATTTACCCACTAGCTTGATAGACCTTTCTCCAGGTGCTCCTAACTTTGGAGTTTAGGCAAGTGGCAAGCAGGGAGAGGGGGCCTCTTCACTGGGCCTAGTGACCTTTTGGGTCACCTCCAAACATCAACTTTCAGCAGGGAGGGGAAAGAACTCTGATGTTGTGTGAAGTTTGCAGTTGCCCTTACTTCCTCTGCAAGAAGATCAAAGGGAAATATCTCCAGACTTTAGTACCTTGCAAAAATCTGGAAAAAGTAACCCATGCATTTTGCAATTGCAATTGCAATTGCATCCCAAATATGACATGCATGTCTTCTGACGTTTGAGGCATTTAGATAGTTGTTAGGCAGGGTGTGCAGCTCTGATATTCATTGCATTTACCGGTATTTGCATTCTTATGCTGGGATCACTGAGTTCTTTTTGCTTTTGACACAGTCAGGAGAGAATAAGAGTGTTGGAGAACTTTCTTTTACAACTTTGTAAAAAAAAAAAAGCATTCTTATTCTTCTTCTTGAAATAGCTTTGTGTGTGTTTGTGTTAAGGGTGTGTGATTATGAGGCAGTCTAGCCCTTTCCACTTTTGCATCTGGTCCCATCCACTACTGGAAGGCGGCCCCTGACAGCTTTCCACTGGAGTAATGCAGCCCATGGTTTGAAAAAGGTCCTCCATCCCTACACTATACAATCCTGGCTCAGTTGTACAATGCTGTTCCTGCTCATGTCCTTCCTCTCCTTCCTGCCACCTCCCAGATACTGTATGTGTGCTTTTCACAGCAGGAGTGCAAAATTGCAGATATTCATGGCTATCATGTCATGTCATCATATGATATAATGTAACTCCCATCATACTATGCCATATATGTCATGACTTTTTAGATTGCTTTGGCAAAAGTCAGTGGAAGTTAATGGGAGGCTTTCACACATTTTGCTGGGTGTATAAGGAGGCTTCTTTAGATGTACCTTTCGAGTTTGTCACTCGCTTCATAGCGATGTTTTATTGCAGTCGAGCTTGAATGAGAAAGCAAAGAAAATGGCAGCCCTATGCCAACAGGGCATGCAGATAAGTGGTGGGAAATCTGAACCAGCTGGATCTGCCAGTTTTAAAGCTGCTTTGTGGTTAGCAGCCAGCCAGTAATTCCCTTGGACCCTGGGTGGTTAAGCTTCCTGTTTTTAGACGCCTGTGTACCAACTGCAGGCTTTGCCTATATTCCGAGCAGCTCTCGTATCTAATTTCATTTCGCTTTTCAATCTTTCTATGCATTTCTCCTGCTCTGGAGGGTAGAACTCAAACCCATGGCTTCAAGTTACAAGAAATGAGATTCTGACTAAACATGTACGCTCCCAGTACGTTTCCGAGCACAATTCAAAGTGTTGGTGTTGACCTTTAAAGCCCTAAACGGCCTCGACCCAGTATACCTGAAGGAGTGTCTCCACCCCCATCGTTCTGCCTGGATGCTGAGGTCCAGCGCTGAGGGCCTTCTGGTGGTTCCCTCATTGCGAGAAGTAAAGCTACAGGGAACCAGGCAGGGGGCCTTCTTGGTTGTGGTGCCCTCCCTGTGGAACACCCTCCCATCAGATGTCAAAGAGATAAACTACCTGATATTCAGAAGACATCTGAAGGCAGCCCTATTTAGGGAAGTTTTTAATGTGTGACATTTTAGTGTATTTTTGGTCTTTGTTGGATGCCGCCCAGAGTGGCTGGGGAAACCCAGTCAGATGGGCGGGGTACAAATAAATTATGATGATGATGATGATGATGATGATGATTGAAAAAAGTTTCTGAGAGTGAGAGCTGTTCAACAGTGGAATGGTCTCCCTCGGGAGGTTGTGGACCCTCCTTCCTCGGAGCTTTTTAAGCAGAGGTTGGATGGCCATCTGTCAGGGATACTTTAGCTCAGATTCCTGTATTGAAGGGGGTTGGGCTAGATGACCCTTGGGGTACCTTCCAACTCTACAGTTCTATGAGTCTATCAGTGTGCTTCTCTGTCTCTCCATACAGGACCACTGCTATTATGAAGGTTACGTCCAAAATGATACTGACTCTACAGCAAGCATCAGTGCATGTCGTGGGTTGAGGTAAGATGGGTCATTGCCATTTCTTGACATTGTTTTTGTTTATACTCTGATAACTCTTTGGGGGCGGGATCAGAGGGGGGGGGGATGATTTCTTCAGGAATGCCTTGTTGGGTGGAACATGGTAGCTACTTTCTACCAGATCAGATTATTTGTCCATCTAGTCCAATATTGTCTGCTCCAACTGGCAGCAGCAGTTGGAGAGGTTTTCCCCAATTCTTTCAAAACTGGAAATGCAAAGGATTGAACCCGAGACCTTCTGCTTGCTATGGTCCTTCCTAGCCACAATGACAATTAAATGTAGATATAGAAGAGCATAAGAATCTGCCTTCTTCCAGGTTGGTAGAAGCCCAATATTCTCTATGCTGAACCGGCAACAGCAGAATTATTCCCTCTTACCTGTTACCTGATCTTTCCTTAACTGGACAAGCCAGTGATTGAACCTGGGGCCTTCTCTGTGCCCTGCCACTGAGCTATGGTCACTCTTAGATGAGTCTATGTGTATTTAGCCCAATGAGCTACCCAGGACTGCTGTTTGTTCTTGGTTCCCATGTCATTTTATGCAAGGAGTTGCACAACATCCACTTCTCAAAGCTGTGACTGGTATGATATAAATAATTAGGGAATCAGGAATCTCCACTTGATTCGAGTGGTCTCTTGGAGAGATGACTTCCCTAAGCCCTTGGGGCAAAAAATTAAACATGGGAACTATGGTCCTTAGGACTATCTCCATCTGAACTACTAAAATTGGATTTATTTCTGCCGAAGAGAATTATACAACTCACAAATAGAGGAGATTGGATTTACAATGGTAATATTGCGACAGGTGGTGGCACCTGTTCGCCGCACTAAACGCCTTGGTCGTAACACCACCACGAAAAACCTCCATCTTATTTAACACCCTTATCTGGGTGGGTTGATGCAGCAAGGTATCTTTTTATAAAGGCTAGATTCAATGTTTTCCCATCAAATTGTGTGGGTAACAGACTTCTCCAACGGACAAATCTCAACTCCTCTGTGACTGCTAAAAAGTGGATCTATAGAATCGTTATGTCAATATAATCTTCTGTTGTGCCATTATATTCGGCTCCACCGGTCCAAGTTTTTGGCCCCATAATTATCGAGAATTGCTGTCAGACCTCAGGAAGCCCAAATTTATACTTATTAACGAGAAGACTCAAAGCAAGATCCTTGCAGTTCACTAGATACCTGATTAATGTCTTATTTCATAAGAGGAGAATATGGATCATGTATGACTCTGACAGCTACGCCATAGTAAACGCAAAGTGCCAGAACTAAGTCGCATTAGCCCCCAAAATCCGAGGATTCTGAATGCGGTTGGACTAGAGGGGAGCCTTATTGTATATTAGTGCTTTATTTTAAATTTGAAGTAAAATTGTTTAGTATGGGTGTTTTATTGGAAACTTGTTTAAAATTTGTTGTTTATGGATAAATTTGAATGTATTGTTTTAGATATGGGCCAGATGGCCGTAATAAATCCAAATTCATCACTGGCCCCCTTAAGACACGTAAGAGGGAGCCCTGTTGGATCAGACTGAAGGTTGATCTAGTCCAGCCATTCTGCCATGCAACAGTGGTCAACAGTGCCTCTTGGGAAGCCCCCAAATAGGATTTTGAAACCACAATAGGACTCTTCCTGGTAGCATTGGGCTATCAAAGGAATATTCGTAACTTGCAGGGATGCTAGGTTGGTTAGGAGAGGCATGTACTTCAACTCTGAATTGTGACCTCGCCCCGCTTAAGGCCTGATGCGACAGCAGCCTGACTTGGATGTTGCAGGAGAAACAGGCTGCATGCACACCATACATTGAAAGCTTAATCAGGCAATCTGAGTGAAGGAATTGTGATCCTCATTTCAATTCTGGTCTTGGAAATAAGTAACAGTTTATGCATTCCTACATAAAACAGTTGATTTGGTAGGTATAACGTTGGGTGCAGGAAGCTAGAGCAGGAGAGATGTGAGTAAATACAGGAAAATAAGATCCAACGTGGTTTCAAGGGGAATTTAGAGTAGAGGAAACGGCTTAGTAGATCTTCATCAACTTATCTTGAAGCGGTCTTCTCATGTTTTACAGAGGGTATTTCAAGAGTGGTGGCGAGAGGTATCTTATCGAACCTCTGAAGCTCTCAGACAGTGAAGCACATGCAGTCTTCAAATATGATAGCCTAGAAAAGGATGAGACCCCCAAGATCTGTGGGGTAACCAACACTACTTGGGAATCAGAAAACCCCACCAGAAAGACCTCCAGGATGAGCACAAGCGCAGAAGTAAGTGGGGCATAGTGGATGGACAGTGGGTTGAATTCATTCCCAACATTTTAAATTGCACTGTTTGTTTTCAAATGAGTGAATAACTGCAAATGTATTTAAATTTAGTAAATTAATAATTGATTCATGTTAAAAAAACAGATTACTATCCCATCCGCTCTTACAAAATCTTAAATCAGCTGCTAGGCTTAGAAATAGTAGTCAGGTGTTTTTGCCCAAGAGAGGAGTGTGGGAGAAAAGCTTGGTTAAGAATAAATAATGCAATAAATAAATAAATAAATTCTCTCTTGAGTTATTTCTGGAAGTCTGGCTCGGTGATGGCAATTAAATTCCATTGGTGTTTGAAAGAAAATAAACCTAGTTTTTATCTGAAAGTTTGTCACATGCGAACCAGATGACAGTTTTGCAGAGCTGGCAGAAAAAGTGTCATTGACATATGATGGCAAACACTGACATGTTCAGTGCTGTTGAGGCTAGAAATTGGGAGAAAGGGCTAAGAGACAGTTAATACTTGCATAGTGACTTGTGCAAATTAAATTCATTAAATTCTGCTTCTACAAATATTAGCCTGACCACAAATGCAAGATAATGTGCAATGTAGAGCTCAGACCAAAATTGAGCTAAGCCATACTACTTGGATGTGGATTAATATTGAGATGTAAGTTTTATTTGTATAGTTGTGCATATTTCTGCACTGTAATAGAGATGGGTATGGTCTCGCTCAGGATCATTACATTATTTCAGAAATTATCTTAGCTTTTGTAAAAACAAATTAGTTTTTGTAAAACACCCTCACAACATGAAAAGCGTGACGAACATCCGCCTGCCAGACATCTGGATTTGTCCAAAAAACCGACACCAGATCCAAGGCAAAGACGCCATACATCACCAGACCCAAACCCGCCCTTCCACAGATAAATTACAGACCATCCAGTCCAAATGTGGACCTCCGATGCTGCACCCCTGCATCCTACAAGATCTGGCTGGACAGACACAAAACCACAGCTCCCCTATCACGAGCAACCAACCAATATGCAGTCAGCCTGCTTTAGAAAACCTTCACAAAGTCAAAGTCAGGAGGCTTTAGAACAATCCACACCTAATGACCACTGGGTATCGGATATCACTCAGAATCATCAAGATATCCTCAAGTATTAAGGAGAAGGGCACTATGGGACTTCCTCTCTGCCAGAAATTGACGGTACCACCCCCTCACAGTATTATAGAACTACAACCTTGAGATCTGCTCTTCCATAACAAGGAAGCACAGCTGAAGATCGAGTGAGACCTCGTCGAAAGCGCTAGACACCCACTTTTCACGGAAGACACCGGGAACAACTGCATCCGTCCGTAAAATTCGAGCATATATATATATATATATATATATATATATAATTGGGTAGCCACTGTTTCAGTCCAGTAATTCATTTCATAATGCAAAGTCCTGAAAAATGGAATCTTTACATTCTGTACATTCAAAGATTTTAACAAGCTCTCTAACCTTATAAATGTCTTATCACACACAGCCAGCATTACCCAAGGTTTATGTGCTTTAACCAGACTATAAAACAGCAATCCTTAGTTTATCAGACGATCCAATGTTCCTGTGAACCAGGGCTTTATAATGGGCTGCCAGACCCAAAATAGGCAGCTGCAGGGAGATCAGAAATAACATTTAGGCAGTGAAAAAAATCCAAGTCATGCAAAAGTTAAATTATGTTAGGTGATCTAAAAAGTGAGTGATGGCCATGTAAAAGAGTAAATTAAATGGACCAGGCTCCCCTACAATCCCAGACCTTGATCAGTCATACACGTTTTTCTTCCTCCCAAATACACTTCCCATAAACACAATTGCTACTCTTTACTAAGTAGTCACCAATGTTTCTAAGATGATGTAAAAACAATTTTAGAACTTGGAGACCCCTTTCCCAACAAGGCATGCAAAGTTGTGATGGTGATTCCAGAAGCAGCCAATATGATGTTCTTCACAGGGACTTTATAAGTGAAATATTTAAAAAGAGAGAACTCTACCATTTAGATTTATGTATACAGTAACTGTAATGGGAATCAGCCACATATTGACCTCAAAGTGGTACTTAGGAAGTTAGTATTCACATCTCTCCCAAGACTCTCTTCACTCTTGATGTCAAATTCTCAGTTCTGAGGATTTTCTGAGCAAGAAACCATGTATGCACACACACACAAAAACAAGCAGGTGTGTTGTAGCGATGCATGCACTGAGAGTGAATTATAATCACATTCCACTGGGCACTTCAACATTTTCCTTTTATAATAATAATAATAATTTATTATTTATACCCTGCCAATCTGTCTGGGTTTCCCCAGCCACTCTGGGGAAAACCCTTTTAAACAACCCTGCCATGAACTTTGTGTGGAAACTCCGGCCAATCTCCACTTTCTTGTTCCCTTTAGAAGCAGGCATACCTGAAGGCCAGGAAATATGTTGAACTTTACATAGCTGTAGACTACACAGTGGTAAGTATCCAAGGAATGCTTTCCTCCTTAGTTCTTTTGAAGCATTCACTTTACAGTAAGGTTACCAGATTTTTTTCAATGAATCCGGGGACACATTTCAACTTCCTACTAAATAGATGGATTTTGTCAGGGGAGTGATTTGTAAATCTGGGGACTGTTCCCGGGAAACGGGGACATCTGGTAACCTTACTTTACAGGGGGAGCACTGCAGTATGTGAACTGCCCTGTTAGACCAGACCAAAGCGCAAGCTTCCCTCTAGTCTTGCATTTGCCGTTTCCAGTCAAATATCTCTGAGAAGCTCACAAGGAGGGCATGAAGGTGATGGCCTTATATAACAACAATTTCCTTTATTCGACCGATGGTCAGAAATAAACATTACACAATACAGAATTATAAACTAAAACATCATAGGGGTACATAAAAAGGTAGGGCCACAGTACTAGACCTCTCACAGATAAGCCACATCAAAGCATTCAGTTATACGTTTCCGACACTTGAGTGCCAGGAAAAGGAATTTAGCCACTGACAACGTTGTTTTCCCAGAAGACTTATTTAGCAGATATGCTGTCTGCTTTCCTCTTTGTCGGGAACTGAGCTGGGGTAAGTATGGAGTTATAAGATACTGTCTTAAATCGTTGTAGAAGGGACAGCTCAGTAAAATGTGCTCTGTGGATTCTACCTCACCCAATGCACAGTGGCATAATCTCTGGTCATATGGGACTCCTCCATATCTTCCCTTCAGAACCGCCGAGTCAAGAACATTCAGCCTAGGTGATGGCCTTATATTGTTATTTGCCCGCAGCTTCTTATATTCAGATGTATATTTCTTCTCAACATGGAGAATACATTTAGCTATAATGCATAATAGTCATTGATTGAACCAGTTTTCCATCTTTTTCCTCAGTAGTGGCAAACTCCACAAGATAAACCCTATTTCAAATTCTTTGCTCCTGTGCCCATACTTGAGGTTGTGCTCACCCCCCTCATGTGTACACAAACAGTGTTAACTTCTGGAATAATAATAATATCAAAGGAGGTGGTGGAAGGTCTCTCCAATTACAGATTTGGTGTTCTGCTAACGCTTTTACAAAAGGGAACAGCTGGTCTTGTGAAAAATTAGAGGAAATTGATATTGTGCTGATGTCATTTAATGATGCCATTTGTTGTTACTTCCTTCTAACCACGGTGACACCATTTCACTACCATATATAGCTACAGCCTTGGAGGTGATGCTTCTTGCAAGAATGGAAAAAAGGCATTTGAATGAACAAAGTTTACTGTGTTTCCAATCTACTGTAAAGTCCCTGCACAATTTCCCATATTTAATGAGAAGCAGCTGACCGCAATTACTGAGAAGCAGTTAACCTCATCAGTTTCATTATCATTCAATGAGTTTTCAGTGAAATCCAGAACTTAATAAGGAAGATGCAAACCTGATCTTTGTCCTGCAAATATTTATCTGCATGTTACTGGGGACAATAGGCACAGCCACACTATGCATTCAACTTAATTTAAACCAGTTTCCAATAACTTTAATTTCCCTGAGTTGGAGATCATTAGTAGTTGGGAGGAAGGGTGAGATATTAGAGAGATAGATAGATAGATAGATAGATAGATAGATAGATAGATAGACGGACAGATAGACAGATAGATATAGATAGATAGATGATAGGCTATATGGACAATTTTTATTTTTTTAACCCAAGGGGATTTTTTAATTTACATAATTTGGGGAACTTTACAGTTTAAAGTAACACCTTGCATTTCATGTTTTTGTTCAACAAATTCTTGAAATGTGTTGGGCTTTGTTGGTTTTTTAATGTGCACGTAAGTGACATTGCAATGGTCATTAGCTATACACAATAAAAACCTGACCTACAAACTGACATATAAAGGAATTTTTGTCCTTTGTATAAGGTACCACAGAATGCCAATTTCACAGAAAAAACAACAGTGAACTCCCAACCCAAATTACATAGAATCATAGAATTGTAGTGTTGGAAGGGACCACGTGGGCAAATCTAGTCCAACCCTCTGCAATGCAGGAATCTTTTGCCTGACATGGGGCTTGAACCCACGACATTGGAATCTCATAAGTTAAGAATCCTAATACATAGACACCAACAAAAGGTAACCAGTGCTTTTTTTCTGGGGGACCTAGGGGTACGCATACCCCTAAACATTTTGTGAATCTAAGTTTCGCCTCATTGAGGGGCAGTATTTGAATACGAGTAGGAAAATGAGAGCACCCCTAAACATTTTTTTCACAAAAAAAGCACTGAAGGTAACTAACACCTCCCCAAAAGAGGCATCCCCAAGGAACTAAAAAAATTGGGAGGGGCCCTGAGAGTGGGTGTCTGAGAGTCCTCTTGTGCCCACAAGTGCCATGTTGGGGACCCAGGTTTAGGAGGTGAAATTGTAAGAATCCACTATGAAGAACTTGTCATAGGTTGTAAGTTGTCAAAAAAGCATTTTCTTCCTATATGTAGGTTCACAGATTCTTTTGCTACAGCAAGGATGAGTTAAATGCCTTCCTCTTTCCCTGTAACCCAGGCATCCCCAACCTGTGGCCCTCCAGATGTTTTGGCCTACAACTCCCATGATCCCTAGCTAACAGGACCAGTGGTCAGGGATGATGGGAATTGTAGTCCGAAACTTCTGGAGGGCCGAAGGTTGGAGGTGCCTGCAGTGTAACCTGTACCCCACTCTGCTCAATCTGCTATTAATACTTTCATCTTTTTCTTTTTGCAGTTCAGGAAGTACAGCCGCAATATGACTGGCATTAGGACAAGAGTATTTGAAATAGTCAATTACATAAACATGGTAAGATATAATGGCAGTGACCCTGAGTGAACAATAGTGAGGCGTAGATATGTTTTTAAATGTTTTAAAATATATGTTTTTAACCATATGTTTTAATATGGTTAGATTGGTCTCAACTAGGGCCAGGGCCTTTTCAGTACTGGCCCCGACTTGGTGGAACGCTCTGTCACAAGAGACCAGGGCCCTGCGGGACTTGACATCTTTCCGCAGGGCCTGCAAGACAGAGCTGTTCCGCCTGGCCTTTGGTTTGGACTCAGTCTGACCCTTATGTTTCCCTCCCCTTATGGTTTTGATTTATCGGCTACTTTCAAAATGAGGCTGCATTTTAAATTGCATTTTAACCTGTATTTTTAAAAAAATTCCCCCTCCCCCCTATTATGTTTTTACTGTGATTTTATTGGTGTTAGCCGCCCTGAGCCTGGCTCTGGCCGGGGAAAGCGGGGTATAAATAAAATTTATTATTATTGTTGTTGTTGTTGTTGTTGTTGTTATTATTATTATTATTATTATTATTATTATTATTAAAGTCTGCATTAAATTAGCAATGGTCAGAATCCTCTTAGCTTGTTTCTCTCTGATTTTTGCAATTAGTGTTCAAAAACTGGGCATTTAAAATTAGAAGAACATTTCAAATTTCTATACAAGTCACTCAGTTATTCAATGGAAGTTTCTCTCTTATTCAACAGACTTTTTCATTGCATGTACCTCAAAACTTCTTTTAGGTCCATGTGAAGAAATCTTGTTTTACACTCTGAGCTGACAAAATGATGTTTGATGTGAACGCATCTCAGCATTACTAGATGAACAATTTTTGTATTCCAGACCAGGTAGTTTTAGAGCACAGCAACACCACTTATCACAGAGATGGCCACCTTTTGTATTCTTAGGAAAGAAGTGCAGGGCCTAGAGGTATATTTAGGAATGGGGAGAAATTAAATTCAGTTCGCATTTAAAGTTAAACCTTCCTAGCAATTACAATATGTGAACCAAAATGTAGCCATCTTTCAAAATTCATACTTCAGGTTTTGCAGTGCTGTTCTCCAGCCAAGGAATGTGTATAGAAATGCATATGTACATTAAAGTGTACATTCAAATGCAAAGAGCAGTGAACACAACATACAAAAATGCATTATATTAGGGAAAATTGCATTGGAAAAATGAGTGTATTAGGCAAAATTGCAGACAAACTTTGTGTATATTCGGAAGAATTTGCAGTAAAATGCTGATGAATTCAGAAACTGATATGGAAATGCAGTTAAATGAATTTAAGATTGGATAATGAGAAACTGAGAGAAGCTGAAATTGACAGATTTGCAGATCCCTAATTTTAATGCCCTCACAAGTGCATAAAACATTTGGGAGTAAGGGTTGCCCACACGTGTTCTTCACTGTAACATTATTTAGAAATATGCATGTTTATATTTTGAAAACAATGTTTATATTTCACATGCATGTTACAGTATCTGAAAATGTCATTCAACATGAAGTGTGAATTATCTTTGTTGCCTACAAACTATAATTCTTTGCATTTCTTAAAAAACCCACAACTTGAGTGAAATTTGATTGTGATACCTACATCTTTGCATACTGTTGTTCCATGCTGCTTGTTTGTGATTTTGTTTTGTGCTTTTGTTTGGGGCTTTTTTTGTTTGGGGAAATTTTACTTGGTTTCAGGAGTCTGTGGAAGCATTTGTTGATTAACCCTTTCTCTCCCCTTCTCAGCCCAACCCAATCCCCGCCCCCCACAAAAGCACCCCATGGCTGCTTTTAAAGAAAAAAATACACAAAGAGATAAGAACCTTGGACTTGCCTCCAACTAAATCCTACAATGAGTAGACACATTTGAATGAATGACCATAACTTAAGCAATTTTCATCAACTTAAGTGGGTCTACTCTAAGTAGGACTAGTATTGGATACAATCCTGGAACTTCCGTATTTCTTTTAATGTTGTCCTAACACCCTGGTTGGGACGCAGGTGGCGCTGTGGGCAAAACCTCAGTGCCTAGGACTTGCCGATCGTATGGTCAGCGGTTCGAATCCCTGCGGCGGGGTGAGCTCCCGTCGTTCGGTCCCAGCTCCTGCCAACCTAGCAGTTCGAAAGCACCCCTAAGTGCAAGTAGATAAATAGGGACCGCTTTATAGTGGGAAGGTAAACGGCGTTTCTGTGCGCTGCGCTGGTGCTGGCTCACCAGAGCAGCTTCGTCACGCTAGCCACGTGATCTGGAAGTGTCTTCGAACAGCGCTGGCTCCCGGCCTCTTAAGCGAGATGAGCACGCAACCCCAGAGTCGGTCACGACTGGCCCGTACGGGCAGGGGTACCTTTACCTTTAACACCCTAGTTAGGAATGCGGGTGGCACTGTGGATTAAACCACAGAGCCTAGGACTTGCCGATCAGAAGGTCGGCGGTTCAAATCCTCACGACAGGGTGAGCTCCCATTGCTCAGTCCCTGCTCCTGCCAACCTAGCAGTTCGATAGCACGTCAAAGTGCAAGTAGATAAATAGGTACTGCTCCAGTGGGAAGGTAAATGGCCTTTACGTGCGCTGCTCTGGTTCGCTGGAAGCGGCTTAGTCATGCTGGCCACATGACCCGGAAGCTGTATGCTGGCTCCCTTGGCCAATAAAGCGAGATGAGCACCGCAATCCCAGAGTCGGCTACGACTGGACCTCATGGTCAGGGGTCCCTTTACCTTACTAACACCCTGGTTTCAAAGTATACGTATATACAATTTAATCTGCTCCAAGTTGGGGTGAGGAGTATAAAATCCATTATCAACTTTTCCCTAAGGTATTTCTTAAGGTATTTTTGTGTGTTCCCTGATTACAGTTTGTTCTCCTCATAGGTTTACAAAGCCATAAACGTTCATGTAGCATTGATTGGCCTAGAAGTTTGGTCTGATGGGGATAAGATTGATGTGAACGAATCTGCGAGCACCACTTTAGACCGGTTCTCAGCGTGGAGGCAGGCAGTTCTGTTGAAGCGGAAAAGGAACGATAATGCTCAGCTTCTCACGTATGTATCCCTGTGGCAAAAGGTTGTGGGCGGAGGTGGAGTACCTTTAGTGAGCCATATCTTTCCAAAGTTTCAAAAACACTTCCCCCAAATGCTGTCAAGAGTGGTAGGGGGGGGTACCGTTGCCCCCAAATGGCCTCCTCAGTTTTTCACCAGCCCGTTTCTTCTGGGTGTCATTGACATGGTACTGGAGTGGGGGGGGGTGAGAGGGGATGGTACACCATATTTTCTGCAACATTTGAACTTTTGGCTAAATTTGTGGGAGGGTTCAAATAACCTCTACCATTTTCAGGGTGCAGGATGAAAAATGGGGGTTCTGGCAAAACTCATTGATCCCTACTTTTCTTGCATGTGCCTTAGTTCTGAGACAGGTTGCAGCTGAAATATTAATAGTCTACAACTCCATTGGGAAGAATTACCAAAGGCTTCTTTGCCAAATGCAGCAATAGATTCTATGAATGATAGAACAATGGAGTCTTTCTGAATGAGATCTCACAGTCTGTTCTCGATCCCTCTTTTCTTTCAGAGGAATTGACTTCACTGGACCAACAGTAGGATTGGCCTATGTTGGAACCATGTGCAACCCTGCTCATTCCTTGGGAGTTGTTCAGGTTTGTGAAATTAGATAGGAGGAGGAGGGAAGTACATTGGGTTGCAGGCAAGGAAGGCTTATAAAATGGCATTTCCTTACTACAAACATAAACCAACTTATCGGCTGTGGCTTCCTCATCCTGGGAACTAGCTTTTGCATGTGGCTGAGTCTTAGGAATTTGTTGTTGTGCACGGCTGAGTTGGCTTAGAGTGAGAGCAGACTTTGCTCATTCTGTTCTGGGATGCTTGAGGAACTCAATTCCTGTGAATTCCAAAGTGAAGAGACCGAATCCACACACCCCGTGTTAATTGTAAAGTAATTATTCTTCTGTTTTCACATTTCACTGATTTTTGAAACACACATCTCCGCTCAAAAAATATGCCCAAATGCTTAAAAATGTGTATTTAGGATAAACTACACATAGGCCAGGGACGTGGGTGGTGCTGTGGTCTAAATCACAGAGCCTAGGGCTTGCTGATCAGAAGGTCAGCGGTTCAAATCCCCACGACGGGGTGAGCTCCCGTTGCTCGGTCCCTGCCCCTGCCAACCTAGCAGTTCGAAAGCACATCAAAGTGCAAGTAGATAAATAGGTACCGCTCTGGCGGGAAGGTAAACTGCGTTTCCGTGCACTGCTCTGGTTCACCAGAAGCGGCTTAGTCATGCTGTCCACATGACCCGGAAGCAGTTCTGCAGAGTCATTCGCGACTGGACTTAACGGTCAGGGGTCCCTTTACCTTTACACATCTACATGTGTAAATCTACATTTACTGTTGCTCCAGAGTAGGGTTAGCCCATGTGGCCATGCTGGCTAGGATGGATGGGAGCCTAACCGCATAGGGAAGTTACCACATTGACTCCCCCTACTCCAGGAAAAAAACAGAACTAGATCTAATGTGTGGAAGTTGCAAGGGAGCAGATTTTGGATAAGTGTTAGTAGAAGGAATGGCAACTGTTATTTAACAGTGGAACAGGCTTTCCAGAGAACTGGTGAGTTCAACTTTGCTGGAGGTAATTACACAGAAGCTGGAAAAGGGGTTGGACTGGATGACCTCAGGGATCCTTTCTACCTCTAAAATTGAATGATATAGGCTGCCTCGAACCCTGTGGAAGGAATGACCAATGACAGCGGCTGAATGGCTGTGAATTGTGACCTGTGGGGTGCTTGGAAACTTGTTCCGCTTTGCAATCTGAGGCAGGGAGCAGCAAAGAGGTTTCCCCTCGAGCCTTTGGTGGGTCACCACATGTAGCTGTTAGGCTGTGTCAGCCTTGGAAGAAGCTCACTAATTCTGGAGGCCTAGATCTTGCTGAAATATCCTGGGAAGGAAACAGAAACACCACCAGCCTCCACACATGCTGTTGGAGCATGCCATGCATGCTGTTAGATTATTAATTTCGTTTACTTTCCCCCTTTGCCTAAACACTTTGGCCTGCCTGAAAGCAATGTAAATTGAAAACAGAACATATGAATAAAAGAAGCTACTCAGAAGCAGCTCGCCTGGCAGGGCAGAACCACACCCCAGCTTCTTGGTGACACCATTACTGCTGCTTCCCTAGAGGGAGGGGGAACCCTGGTGAAGCTGATCTGGTACACCAGATAATTTGGGCAGCCTCCTTGGGGGATGGAGGGGGGGATCGCAAAAGTGGGTGGAGCAACAAATATAAATTTTTATCTTTGGATAGTGGGCTAGTTTCCACATATACTGACTTCTGCACAGATCTATACATTAAGTAGCCCTCTCCACCCACTATCTAGACAAGCAAGAGACATTAACAAAGATCAAGGACAGGTTGTAGCCAAGCAAAAGCACTCGGCTTTTTTTCCAGCTGGAGCTCACTGGAACTCAGTGGGCACCATTGCCTTTCTAAAAGAACAAAGATGGTGTTCATGGTCAGCTCTGGTACCTCTTTTTCTTGAAAAATAGCACTGCAACGAGGGTGCAAAGTAGGGCCAGTCAGGGGCATGGCCGGGGGGGGGGGGCATGTGGCCTGAGAAGATAGAGAGGTCTGGGAGGCTGCGTTTAAACCCTGGGCCTGATGTTCCCCATCCCTTATCCATTGAGGAGCCGTAGGTCTGTCTAGTTCAGCATTGTCTACGTTGACTGGCAGCAGCTCTCCAGAGTTTCGGAGAGGGGGCTTATCTCCAGCCCTGCCTGGAGATGCCAGGGATGGAACATGGAACTTTGCCCATGCAGAGCATCTGCCCTCCAAGCAAGTTGCAGCCCTCTCAAAAAATGCTCTCTTGCATGTGATGCATAAAGAGAGAATAGAGCTGAGCAGAAATGTTTTCCCCAAAATTTGCTTTTCCATTCAGAAGTGGCCATTTTTTTTTGGGGGGGGGGTGTTCAGAAACTGTTTTTCTGAAATATTTTACTGGACTGGTGGCAGCTGCTACCTCCCCTCTGTGCTCCTAGAAGGAGTATACATCACAATATAGTTTTATTCCAAGGGCAGAAGTGTGGAGGGGAATTGGCAGCCAATGGATCATCAAAAGAACCACCATGGCCACTTGCAGCAGTGATAAAACTATGGGTTTTATCCAGTGCTTATCCTACACAGAAAAGATCCCTTGAAGTTAATGGGCATGGCTAACTTAGGCCCAGTGGGACGCGGGTGGTGCTGTGGTCGAAACCACTGAGCCTAGGGCTTGCCAATTTAGAATGTTGTATTATTTTATTGTTGTTAGCCGCCCTGAGCCCGGCTTCGGCTGGGGAGGGTGGGATATAAATAAAAATTTATTATTATTTATTAAGGTCAGCGTTCGAATTAAGGTTCGAATCCCTGCGACAGGGTGAGCTCCCATTGTTCAGTCCCAGCTCCTGCCAACCTAGCAGTTCGAAAGCAGGTCAAAGTACAAGTAGGTAAATAGGTACCGCTCTGGCGGGAAGGTAAACGGCGTTTCCGTGTGCTGCTCTGGTTCACCAGAAGCGGCTTAGTCATGCTGGCCACATGACCCGGAAGCTGTCTGCAGACAAACACCAGCTCCCTCGGCCTGTAAAGCGAGATGAGCGCCTCAACCCAAGAGTCGTCCACGACTGGACCTTCGGATCAGGGGTACCTTTACCTTTGTTGTTGTTGTTGTTGTTGTTGTTTAGTCGTGTCCGACTCTTCGTGACCCCATGGACCAGAGCACGCCAGGCACTCCTGTCTTCCACTGCCTCCCGCAGTTTGGTCAAACACCTTTAACTTAGGCCCCTTAATTTTTTGGCAACTATTCCATATTTTTTAAAAGAAGTGAAAAAATAGCTGCTATTAACAAACAACAGACCCTTGAAAATGATTAGATTTTCCTCCCCTCCCTCCACCCACCTCCAGATTCTAATATTCACTCAAAATTTCATTGAGCTTTTCCACGCAATGCTAATAACCACCATCATCTTCTGTTTCCTGGAAGACTAACAATAGGTTAACTGTTCTCCCTTCTGCAGGATCACAACCCAAACCCAATTGCTATTGGTGCAACCATGGCCCATGAAATGGGGCATAACTTTGGCATGAATCACGATGCAAGTTTCTGTAAGTGCAGTTCTGGATCATGCATCATGGCGGCGCAACTCAGGTGAGTCCCCTGTACCTGCCAGAGGAGTCTGGCAAAACCTGTGGTTGCTTTTGAATGCAATTGCTGCTAAACAGTTTTGAATTAATAATTCAACTATGTTGCATGGAACTGTTGCCAGGATGGTGCAGTTATCTGAAAACTGCTAGAGAGCAAAAGTGCTTAACCCATCGTCTGCTGAAACTAGCACCTGCTTCTTTGTTATCAGAGGAGAGATTTAGTTAAACTGGGCATAAAAACTGGGTTTTCTTACAGCCAAGTGGTATATAAATTTTGTTAAATAAATATAATTAGAGAGAGCAATCTTGAACTGATAAATGGTGGGAGTAGAAAGGGTTAAGCAGCCCTCTCCACGTTTCCTCCACTTAAAGTGGCAGCACTTTGCAGCTGCTTTTCATTTTTTAAGAAAGTTGATAGACTGTTAATGCATTCCTGACTAGTTCCTCTCTCAGTGAAATCAATAGATCACAGAATTTTGTTTGCTGGCTGACTGATGTTGTTTTGCTTAGGCTCGGAAATAGGTCTTGTTAGACATGGCTCTATTGCAGACTTCTGCTGTCTTTTGTGCAAGCCTCTTGCAGCCTTGATAGAGCATGCAGTTGTTTGGGAAGTTTCTGTACTTGCTGCAAAAAGCGCAGGGTGCTCATTCCCTCATGTTCAGGGAGTTATTTAATGGAATTTGTGCATCATATGCAGTTTTAATATGTGAAAGGATTTCTTTGGTGTTTCACACAGAAGCACTTGCTTCAAGAATGTCTGCTTTTCCCCATCAAGCAAGTGCTGAGGTTTCTGGTGCAACTTTGTTATGACCTTAACAGAAAAGCGCGTCTGGTTGTGAGTGGTTTTCAGTAGATCCCCATTTGCTTTCATGATGTGACTTGGTGACCATTGCTCACCCACATTCCTCTCCTCCCCCCTCTTAATATGTGCTTTCCGAAACAATAGAAACATCCTTTGATATTTTCACTCCTCTGAATTCAGCCACGCAATTCTCAAGCCAAGCAATGTGTATAAAAATGTGTATGCTAGTGTAAAATCTGCACAAAAATGCTTATATTGGCAAAAATAACATACAAAAATGTAAATAAACCTGAGAAATTCACACTAAAATGCTGATGAGTTTTCATGAGGACTTTTAACATTTAAAAAATGACAAAATGATGGTGAAATGTGGAAAACTGAACTTAAGATGGGAGGAAAATGAGAAACTGAAAGAAACAAAAAATGACAGATTGGTCCATCCCTAATCTCTATTTAAGTGTTCCTTTAACCCTAAGCAAATTGTTTCACAGTAGCGCCAAATGAGACCTTACACCGGAGCTGTCTGCGTGATTTTTTTTATTTCTGCAAATGCAGCCATGAGGTACAATTTGGATCGAGGCCATGCACGGGAGGTTTATCATGGACCCAAATCAATTCCCTGGAGTTTTTCTTAGCCGTGGAGGGGGAAAGCAGAAAACTTATATTTTAAAGCCAACACATCTTCCCCTTCAAAGCTCATAACAGGTCTGGAGGAGCAATCTGCATTGGGGCCATGATATTTCCAGAGAAGAGTTAGATTGTTCTTCCTCTAGCCATGGCCCTGGTAAAAAACAACAGCTGCTTTAAAAAAAAGAAAATTACATATGGAATTCCAAACACAGATCTTTAATGTAACACATAGCTTGGCTGCTAGTTTGACCAGAATAAAGCTTTTTCAGATGAAGTGACTGAATAATAATAATAATAATAATAATTTATTTATTTATACCCCACCCATCTGGCTGGGTTTTCCCAGCCACTCTGGGCGGCTTCCAGAAAAATATTAAAATACAATAAGGACTGAATATTGACATTACATATAAACCCCTTAGCAGTTTGGGACCAGTTTACTTGTAGGATCACCTTACCTCATATATGCCCAATTGACTGCTTAGATCTGCTGAACTGGCACTGTTACAAGTAACCAGGACCTTTTTTCAGCCAAAACTCACCAGAACTGAGTTCCTGCACCTCTTAGGTGGGCACCATTGCCATTCTAAGAGAATAAGGGAGGTGTTCATGGTTTCTTTTTCTAGAAAAATAGTACTGCAGATAACACTCATTCTATACTTGAAAGAAATCAGCCTTTTAATGTGGCAGGACCTACACATTGTAACTCCTTGCCTGTTGACATCAGGAGCCTGCTGATGTTTTTTATCCAGACATACAGATGTTGGCATGTTTTGATCTTTTACAGTTAATTTTAATTATATTTCATGTGTTTTAATTACTTGCCTTTTGTACTGTTCTATTGATAAATGTAATATGTCTTGTAAACTACTTAGAGGCTTTATTTTTTAAAAAATGGATGTGCATTGAGCAAATCAGTTGCAGTCTTCCCTGGTGACTTCTTCTTGATGGAATGCACGTCTCTCACGGGCATGAACATTGGTCACCAAGTCACGCTGTGCAAAAAGGGATCTTGCATAATACTAGTGGTAAGGAGAAATAGGTTTCTTAGAAGTCTATACAAAATTCTGCAAGAAAACTGCACCACAGAGTGAGAATTCTTGTCCTGACTGTGGTCTTAGGTTTTGGTTCTCATCCAAAATACAACTTTCATTGTATTTTTTTTTCTTTTTTAAAATGACTATAAAACCTGGTCTTTAGACTTGTGCAGAATCTGTGAGAACTGGTTGTGACATATTGAGGGGTTGTGACATATTGAGGTGTGTTAGCATCTTATATAGACTCAGGGTAGATGTGGCCAAAATTGACACATTAGGAAAACAAAACTTGCACCACTCTAGTCCATCCATGCATCTGCTGTGTTTCCTAAAGAATTTGAGTGAGTTAGTGATGATGAATCTTTGCTTATTTAGGACTATACCAAGCCACACTATTTAAATATCTGTGCAGCTGGTTCTTATATTTTAGAAGCCTATTGTGGCATTAAGCAATTCATTGATTCCTGCATTGCAGGGAGTTGGGCTAGATGACTCTACAACTCTGTGATTCCAATAGATATAGTCCATCCATACCAGTATTCTCTGGCTGACTGAGAATGTAGATCCCTTTGGTTCTTTGCTAAAGGCTTTCAGCTTGAGGTGGTGGCTGTGATCTGATGCAGAGGCCTTTCTCGTCACCTGTTTGCTGCTGCCAGACCTGTGTTGATTGGAGGTGACCTTCTGCCTGCAAAGCATGCATTCTACCACTGCACTATATTATCCCTCCCAATTATTGGCTAGAATAATTTTCCACATATCTTTTCATCTTTACAGCTATAAAACTCCCCGGGACTTCAGCTCCTGCAGTTTGCAGGATTTTCAGAAATACATCATGGACCGGACCCCATCCTGTATAACTAACGTGCCATCTCCAAAAGATATCATTGCAACCCCAGTCTGCGGGAATGACTTTGTTGAAGAGGGAGAAGAATGTGACTGCGGCTCTCCAGAGGTATCTGTTAATGAACTGCTGGGAAAAGGAACTTGTCAATGGGTGGAATTCTTAACAGAATCTTATGGCTGTTTCATGGCGTAACTGAGGGCACTTTCACATTAAAGAACACATGGATTGGCAATGCAATCAATGTACCAATTTCCCAATTTCAAATTTGGAAATTTTAATTTTGAAGTGAAGGTTGCAAAAGTTCATTTAAAAAATATTATTAATGCAGATAGAAGTGGTGTATCCTCTGTTTGAAGGAGCAGGGAAATGCAAGATGATACCAAATTGGAAAAAGAAAATGATGTGTGAAGGGAAATAACTGCAGTTTGGGGGGTTGGGCGGGGGGGTAGTTACTCAAGCCTAGCATCAGCAGCCAGAACCTGGGCAGCTGCCCTCACCCTGGCTCTGAGACAGGGCCCATGGCTATTGACTTCTGCCCTGGGGCCTGTGAGTTACCATTTAAATTTTCCACAGTGCTCCTGCCATAGTGTCACTTGGGCATTGTGGGAAATAGCCACTCGCTGCTCCCACCACTTCTGTAAGGCAAATCCACTGATGTAGGAAAGAGTCCATCCGAGGATATGTTGCTGAGGACCCCATCAAACCTGGATCTTGCCCTGGGATAATTACGTAGCAGCAGCACCAGTGCCTTTCCTTTTCCTTTTTCCTTTTCCTCTCTCCTTTTTCCTTTTGCCAGCACAAGACCAAACAATGCACCTGGAATGAGACAATGCCATGGTGTAGTATCTTTCCAATAGGGCCTTAAAGTAACTACTCATTAACTCTTCTGTGGGAACATAGAAGAAGCACTGACTATGGCGTTGGGTGCTGAACATTGAATATTTCAGATTATGTTTTCAAATGAGAAGCCAGAGACCTGCTCTGAGCGTGATTTGCAATTGGCAGGGAGAGGGTGACAGTCTCTTGCATAAACCCATGAGGAGCTAGACAGAATAAATTATACAAAATAAAAGGGGGGAATATTATGCAAATATACTTGGTTTGCACAATTTATGCTGATTGCAAAATTAAACTTCTTGACACCTCATTTAAATTAGCTTAGTGCAGAATTTTCATTTTTCATTTTGACTTTTTTTAACACCAAGGTCACCCAGCTCTGGTTAAATACGCAGGCGCCTTTTACTTTACGATCATTAGTATTTTAGATGAAGTGCGCTGAAGAAATACTTTCCTCCTTTATTAGTTACCCATCTGAAAAGATACTAATTGGAAGAGATCAGGCAAAATTAAGTTGATAATACAGGACTGTTCTTGGTTTTAAGGAATGCAAAAATGACTGCTGCGAGGCTGCAACTTGTAAACTGAAGCCAGGTGCTAAATGTGGATATGGGGACTGTTGTGAAAATTGCCAGGTAAGGCTTTGTTCCCTACACTGAAAATAATACCTCTCAATCTTGCTGCACATTGGTCAAATGGGGATGTAATCTCTGTTTCTCTCTATTGCCCATATTGATAGCAAGCATATTTATATTCTTTCTGGGTTGCTTTCTAAAGCTCAGTTGAAACTTATTAAGATGTCTGCATAGGAATTTGTGGGGAGGCTGAGTAGTTCTGTTGCCACGAGAGGAATGGACCTCTTATGGCAACCTCTTAGTTCTGGTAAGTAACACAAGTTGAATATGATGGTCTCCACTTATGACATGAATGCCATTGTGGCTTTCAGGCAATGTAACACCATAAGTTGTAGCCAATTAACTTTACTCAGACTAGATCCAGTGAAATTAATGGACCTAGGTTAGCCATGTACATTAATTTCAATGGGTCTGACTTAATGTTGGATACAACCCTATGGGCTCAGTCGGGAATCCAGGCTATTTCTGGACTTCTCCAGATGACCTGTTTATTGAGCATTCATTCTGATTTGTTTGTGGAGAGCTTATAGAACAATGAGCATTCATACTTCTTGATGCATTTCCCTGCCTCTTTCCTAATTGAAAAATAGTTCTTTTCGTGTTTAACAGTGGATTTATTGCAGTAGAGCACTTTAATCCACATTGACTTTGCGAAACTAAATTTTCCAGTATGTGCTTGAATCCCCTCCCACAAACACTGAGGGTCTTGTGGAAACCCCTGGAGCTGTTTGGGCTGGGATGGCCATCCTTCCCTAGTTGGTAGCCAGCATGGCAGAGAAGAGAAGGCTTCACTGTAGACTGGACGAACCATGATCATTTATATTTGATCTCCACTGCTAAATATGATAAATAATGAGGGATTGGATGACCTTTCTCTTTCCCCTACAGATTAGAAGAGCAGGTGCTGTATGCCGGCCAGTGAAGCATGACTGCGATCTACCAGAACTGTGCACAGGGACCTCTCAGCAATGTCCCATGGATCGCTTCCGAGTGAATGGATTCCCTTGCAAAAATAACGCGGGTTACTGCTACATGGGGAAGTGTCCCACTTTGCAGAACCAATGCATTGCACTTTGGGGGCCAGGTGAGTGAACCCTGGAGTTACTGAACATCTAACTTGAAAAAGGCTTACAGATTTGTTTTGTATTCAGTGGAACTTGGTCTTTCCTGCTGAGCCGGAGCTCAGCTGAGGATACATTGGTGTAATTCCTTCACTGTAGCTCAATCAGGGCTCAGCTGCCTCTGCTGGGACTCATCCAGGAGAACTGAAGCTGGTGTGACTCCCTGAAAAGGGGTGGGATGGAGCAAGGAGAGACTTACGCCTATTCCAAACCTCTTTCAGCTCAGCCACATCACCTAGCAACACAGCAGAAAAAGGACTGGTAAAAAGTTGTGCCTTTGGCTTGATCCGGCACTGTGTTGTGCTCACGTTCTGCTTTTGCGAATCATACCATTATACTGCTACATGCTGAAGATTTTATTTTATTTCTTTTGCCTTTTCAGGTGCCACAGTGGGTGTGGATTCTTGTTATGCTATAAACCAGAACGGGGTTTATTATGGCCATTGCAAGAAGGCTAATGGCACATACATACCATGTGGAAAAAAGTAAGCACCACAAACATAAATCAGTCCCAGGGCATAGTTGTCTGAGAGCACATCACCTTGGGTCTGGTCTGACCAATTCCTGGGGACCCTATGCATACCACCTTGAGCTCCGGAATGAGAGAAAGGTGGGGTATAAAAATATCCAATAGGAGGCATCATGAAAAATTAAGCAGGGGCTCTTTAAAGGTCAACCGTCTCTGCTTGATTTCTACAAGGAGGTTCAGGTCAGGAAGCACAACCTGCTGCAAATGGTCCTCCAGTTCTGCTCGCAAACACCATGGCTCTGCTCTCACCTTTAAAGACAGGCAGATTATGTCAGCTGCGGGTGGTGGGAATTGGGTTCTTTGAGTATTCTTTCATACCGTGAACCGTCTCCTAAATGAGCTTCAGAGTTCCGCTGGGCTACTGCAAACAACCCAGTTAATTTGGGGGTGGGGTGAGCATAAGGACGAGGGAGAAACTAGATTCAGTTCACATTTAATTAGCACATTCTGAGACAATATGTGAAAAATCCATCAAATTTTGCACCTCTCTGGATTTTGCAACGCAGTTCCCCAGATAAGTAATATGTTCAAAAATGCATATTAGGGTTAAATGCACTTATAAATGCATATATTAGTGAAGATAGCATACAAAAAAAGCATTAAATTAGGGGAAACTGCATGCAAAAATGTGTATATTAGTCAAAAGATCATACAAATAGGTGTATATTAAATTTGCTCTGAAATGCTGACAAATTTTCATGAGGTTTTCGTATAAAACCTTTTTTGGGGAAAATTCTTGTGGAAGTGCGAAAAACTGTATTTAAGACTGGAAGGGGGGGGGATGAGAAGCTGAGAGAACTGAAATTGATAGGTTTATCCATCCTTAGATGAGCAGTCTTCTGTTTATCCTATCTCTAGTAATGAAATAATAATAATAATAGAATCATAAAATTGTAGACTTGGAAAGGTCCATGAGGGTCATCTAGTCCACCCCCTGCAATGCAGGAATCCTTTGCCCAAGGTGGGGCTTGAAACCACAACCCTGAGATGAAGAACCTCATGCTCTACCAGCTGAGCTATTCCAGAAGGGCAAACGAATATCAGTTAATCTGGTGGTGCATGAGGATTCCAAATGAGAAAAAAATATATGACTTCCCTAATTAGTCTGTTCCTGTTTAAAAGAAAAACTCAAGGTAACTGTCTGCTTCCTTTTCAGAGATATAAAGTGTGGCAAGTTATATTGCACAGGGGGCTCTCGAATGCCTTCAACTGGAAGTCTAGTGTCGTTTGATACATGCAAAGGCAGTTTCCCAGGCAAGGACCAAGAAGATGGTGGAATGGTTGCCACTGGAACAAAATGCGGAGAAGGCATGGTTAGTGACTCACATCCTCTTCCTTTGATCCACAGGTGTGGTCAGGGGGGAGGTTTCCCAAGCACAATTTCTGTAATGCGGTTGTTGGAATTGCTGCAAGAACAGAGTGACCCGTTTCACACCGGCAGCTTGCCAAGCAGGGCTGCACCTTTGGGGTTCATTTGTCAGCCATGCTTCTGATCCTGCCTGTGAACTGAGCCTGTCCAAGTTATGTTCACATACTTCAAATGCCGGCACAATAATATCCTGAATGCTACAGCTTTAAGATTTAATTCCATTACAATTTTTCTGAGCCTTTTTAAGGAGTGAAATTGGCATGCACTTATTCTTTGAAAGCAGAAGTCACCTACCTGGCTCCCATTGGGGCTCTGGGGCCCTTGAATTCCTCCTGTGGTGCCTAGGAAGCCCTCTGACCCCACACTCTCTGCTTCCAGGAGGTGATGAGGGTGGTTACCTTCTTCGTCCCTTGAAAAATGCCTAGAGCTGAAGGAGGAAGCTGGAAGAGTGATGTTCTTTTCCTCTCCCTTTACAAGGTTCAGATTAGTTCTACTGGATCTTTTCCCAGATGCCTTGGGAAAAGGAAGTGTGTGTGTGCTTCTGTCTCATGTGGGGTGCTCAGTGCTTTTTTAAAAAAGGGGTACTGAAGGGTACGCAGTACCAGCACCTCCTTTTGTTGTTGTTCAGAAGTGTGGCACTTACTGGAACAACTTCATGGTTGTAGAAAAGAAGCACTGGGCTTAGAAGAAGCACATCTGGCATAGAAGGGAGAGAAGTGACCAGAGGAGGCGTCACCCACAGCACCCACTCAAAAATTCAAATGTGCCCATGAGCCTAAAAAACATTGATGGCCCCTCTTCTAAAGTGACATGGATCTTAAGATGGAGGTCAGAAGTTAGTATAGCTCAGTCATGACTGGCCATCTCCCCAGCCAAGCAGGTCTCTAGACTCACAGGCTCAAGAAACTGACAAGTACCCCTTCTTTGAGAACACAACAAAGCTAGAAAGCTGCCATATCAGACTGTGATCTGAGCTGCTTACCAACATGGCGAGTGGGAGCACAGGGTCAGAAAGTTATATCCAGTCACACTATTTGTACCTTAAGCCAGATATTATCTATACTACCTGGCTGAGGCTATCCATGTTCCCACACAGAAAAGGCTCTTTCACTTTACTCACTACTTGAACCTTTTAATTGAAGCTTCAGTGGTGTTGAGTTTTGCAGAAAAGAAAAGAACCACCCCACCCTGTTGATCATCTTTGGCATTTTGCTTTCAGGTCTGCAGCAATGGGCAATGTGTCGAGATTGAGAGAGCCTACAGGTCTACCAACTGTTCTTCCAAGTGCCAAGGACATGCTGTAAGAGTTACATCGCGGTTAAGGGAAGAATAATGGTGGCTGCTTTTTAGTGGCCTTTGTAAATGTTCTGCTTAGAGACACAAACCTTTCCTTCCTCTGTTGAGCACGTATGCCTGTATTCTTCACCCTTCCGCTCACAGTATTCTCCCAGGACCATGTTCCTCAATGAGTCACTGAATTTCTGCATTGGAGACTTTGGTTCTTTCGCTTTTCCCCACCTCTGCCCATGACCAGTATTTCTTCTGTAGCTTCTGACGGGTGCCAGTGCCCCAGTCCTGGTTGCCAGTTACAAGATACTGTGTATGTTGCTCTCTGATCTGTCTCTACTAGGGATGGGGGAGAGAAATGTGTTCAGTTGCATTTTAATGAGAATTGAAATGCAGCTATCCTTCAAATTTTAACTTATCCTAATTTTTGCAATGTAGTTCTCTAACCCAGATGTGTACATTGGGGGAAAGTGTGCACAAAATACACATATTACTGTGCAAAACTGCATTGTATTCGGGGAAATTTCCTTCAAAACTGTATACATTAGGCAAAAATGCACACAACAAAGTTTATACTAGGAGAAGGAAACAAAAATGGATAGATTCGCCCATCCCTACTTTATACTGGAGCCAATGAAGGTGTATCTGGACATGTACTTGGGCTCACTGGTTGAGGTTAACCCTTGAGTCCCATGGCATGAAGAGCCCAGAGTTTGTTGCACTAACCAAAATGTGTGGAATTGGATGCAAAGTCCTCTCTTGCTGGCAAAACCTGATGGTGAAAGCAAGCCCTGAACCAGATGACATTGCAACAGTGACCATTAAATGTCACCATTATTATTATTATTATTATTATTATTATTATTATTATTATTATTATTATTATTTCATAAAATTTATTTACCACTTGATTGTAAAAAACCCTCAAAGTGGTTTACAAAAAAGAAATTATTAATTTAATATTATTACTATATTGTTGTTAAATGTGTTATTCTGTTTTTTAAAATATTATTTAATATTTATATCCTTCTACCAATAAGTACCCAGAGAAACTTACAAAAGAAGGAAAAAAGGAAACCCTGATAATACATTGAAGAATAAGCATGTATTACTAAAAAACTTACAGCCATGAAAAGCAGCAATTAAATTAACAGTCTGAAGACAACAGGAAGGGAGCCAGGTGATGTAGGCCCAGTGTAGGCCATCCACTGTCCTGAGCAAGACAGTTTTGGTCCTAAAACCAGGACAGGAGCAAAATTGGTGAAACTCCTGGTGCTGAGAAGTGACCACACACTCAGGCACCTTGCCCAAATCAGGGAGGTTGGAGACAGGATCATAGTTTCTAAGGTTAGCCAGGTCATCATAGCTTGACCATAAGATCATGAGAAAAGCCCTGTGGAGTCTGGCCAAAGGCCCATCTTGTCCAGCACCCTCTTCTCACAGCAGCCAAGCAGATGCCCATGGGAAGCTCACAAGAAGGACAGCAGCAGTCTCTCCACTGCTGGAGTCCTGGCAATGGGTGGCCAGAGGTCTACTTCTGTAAATTGTGAGGGCCATTCCTTTCCACAAGGAGGCCTTGACCACCTTTGACTCTCAGGTAGACAAGACATTTTTGAAAGTTTCCCCCTTCTCAAAGAAGTCTCTCTCTCTGTGTGTGTGTGTTCAGTATTTTGGCTAACAGCTGATGACTTACACCAATTTTGGGATTGACTGCAGTTTTGATAATTTGTTGGAGCTGTGCCTTTTGTTATCTATATAATTTTGTATTTATTCTAAAATGTTTGTTTTATTACTTGCACTGCACTGAATAACAGACCTGATCAAAAGGCAGGATAGACATCTTTCCAATAAAAATAAATGAATGAATGAATAAAGCAAGCATGGTCTGCTTCTTTTCCATGTGCCCATTTTAGAGACTAATGCTAGGTCTGTGCTATCACAGGTATGTGACCATGAGCTGCTATGCCAGTGTGAAGAAGGATGGGCGCCACCAAATTGCGATGACCCCACAGCAAATAGATGTGAGTTAAAGCAGGAGCCCCCTGCCACACTCCCCCCTTCTTTTCACCGTGGACTCTTTTGTTATATGGCTAACAAAATGGCCTCTTCCCCAAATTTGCCACCCAATTCACAGATGATTAATTTTTGGGGGAGGGGGATTTGGGCTATTGGATGAGGACTTTTGAATGGATTTGGAGGCAGGCTTACTATTTGCAATGGCGGTGGCCATGAGTGTTTACTCCTTTTAAAGCTCTAAACGGTAAAATGAAGGCAATGATGGAGCTCTTCTCAGAAGCTACCAGTTTGCAGCTGACATGTTTTCCCCAGAATGCCTCAGATCCAGCATCGTTCTGGAGTATTCTGGGGTGAAAAATGGCATCCGCCAGCCGCTAAACAGAGCTTTATTGTTACCTTATCGGGAGTTGGGGTGGCGGGGAGCGGGTGGCAGCGGCACAACTTCTCTGCCACAAATGGTAAACCTGCCTCACCATGAACTCTTCCAAAAATCCCACCTGAAATATTGGCCGCTATTTCAGGGAACAACCCACCCTCTCCCAATATTGTTGAAAGTTTGCAGCTGCAAACTCAGTTTGGCATAAGCCATTTCTCTGTGTGTTCCCCTGCTCCACATAGCTGGGCTAGTGATGGAAGTGAATGATCATTTAGGTAACAACATCAGGACATCAGGTAAGTTCTGTAATACGTTGCTGGAGTTGTGATGGGGGAACTCAATGCACAGCTGTCATTTGGGGTGGCTCACCTTTGCTTCTTATAAATTCTTCCCTTACTGATGATTTCAGTGGCATTAGGTTGGCCATATTTACCAAAGTTCTGTCTCCAGGACATGTAGCAAAATGTACACCAAATTCTCTTCTATTGCTCTGCATAACTGCAAGTTCCTCCTGATAAAGTAGTAAACTCAGGTGCCCCAAAGTATTAACAAGTTTATAAAAATATGTGTAATAACTAGTACAATCTTAACCAAATCTACTCAGTCCTACTGAATTCCATGGGACTTATCCCCAGGTAAGTAGGGTTAGGACTGCATCTTATGTAATTTGGGGACGATCCTTGGGTAGCAGGAAAACAGATGCACTCATCCTAGCATACAGTGTGATATCATCCTGTTGAATTCTTGCTGGCTTGATGATGGTGGCGAAGAGGAGACTAAGAGCTCTGTTTGAAGAAGGATGCAGTTCATTACTTAGCTGCAAGATGACCCTTCTCTGAGCAAGAAGTTGTATGCAAAGAGCATGGTGACCCATTATTTATTTACCTATTATCATCACATTTCTTTATTATATTTTTATCCTGCCCTTCACTCCAAAGAGCTCGGAGTGACACACTCTCTCTCATGCACACATTTATCCTAGAACAACAACTACAAGCTTTTGTGTATCCAAAGCAATTCACTTACTGTAGCTTGTTTTAATCCTTACCAGCCTGGATAGCTCAGCTGGATAGTGCATGGTGCTGATAACACCAAGGTTGCAGGTTCAGTCCCTGAATGGGACAGCTGCGTATCCCTGCATTGCAGGGGGTTGGACTAGATGATCCTCAGGGTCCCTTCCAACTCTATGATTCTATTCTATCAATTTCTGTAAGATGGGGCAGTATAATTAACCCTATATTACAGATGCTAGGCGATTCTCTAAACCATGGTTTAGATGGTCACAAATGAACTGCAGCAAAGCCTCAGGTAGGTTCATATGCAACCTCCCCTCTTCTTCTTTCACAAAAGGAGGTGAATTTATGCACCTTGGACTAAACCATGCTCACCTTCAGGTGATTGTGGTCTCTCCATAGTTACAACAAACCAGGGTCAAACGTGCATTGATATTCTGGTTTGGTAAGTAACTAGAGTTAGAATAAACCACAGTTCTCTCATGGTTTAGTCAAAAGTGAAAACAGAAGCTTTAAGTCACTTTTGGATATAAAGGAGAAGAGAAGGAAAGGTGTGGGGCTTTCTGACACACTTTTGTGAAAATCTATTTCATCACGAACTGGGCCTCAGGCTGAGAGAATGTGTTTTGGGTCATTTCCTGTCACACATGAGGAATAGGGAGTCTTTGAGGAAGCATGATTTCCAAGAATTGTCTCTCAGTACAATCTCAGATTTGTTTATGGCCTGTTCTTTTTTTGCAGATATCATCATCATTGTTGCAGTGTTGTTAGCCATTTTAGTCACAGCAGTCACCATCATTGTCTTGTTCCGGTACAAAATTTCAAAGAAGAAAAATAGTCCAAGGTGAATCTTTTAAGTGAAGAATTGTCAGCCAAAATTTTGCAAAAGGGTTTAACTGCTGGATTTGCTAAGTGCTCAATACTAGGAATGGCATGCGTGGCCAGATTGAACATTGGGATGGAAAGCCAACTCTGGCTAGTTTGAGCAGTAGAGTCTTAGATTTTGGATGCCAGAAACCTGCTGATTTGGAGCTATAATTCGCCATGATTAAAAGCAGGGGTGGAGGACTTGCAGCTCTTCAGATTAGGGATGGCTAGCGCAGCCTGTCTGTAGGCACTTGCACCATAAATTGTATGTGTTTTGTATTTATGCATTTCTTCATAAAACACAGTTTTGTATGCCCGTTTCCTGTAAAGTAATGCATGTTTGTATGTATTTTGTACCAAAACAGCAAGGCAAAATTCAAAGTGGAGAATTCATATGTGTATTCCAATTCACATATAGTCTGAAACCAGTTTGGTTTCCTTTAAAATACTGTAGGGCTAGACAACAAGCTCTTCTGGAATCAGTCCTCCTGATCAGGTATACCTCATTTCCCCTATGCTTCAATGGCAAAATCCAGAGCTTCCCCTCCAAGAGCACTGTGTTCCTTTGGAAAGAAGGACGGGATATTATTATTATTATTCTGGACCAAACAATATATGATTCAGGAGAGACAGTGAAGGTCTCCATTCTCTGTCTCTTCTGCATCCTATATTGTTTGACCAAGACTTCTACATTTCTGGGTACAGAACACAGATGTACTAAGTTATGAATTCAATCCGCATGCTAATATTGACTGTTTTTTGATAGCACCCACAAGAGTGTGGCTGGATCCACAAACCATGCCTTCTCAGGTCAAGATCAGAAGAGAAGACAGCATCTTGGCCCTGTGCCTGGCCCTCCAGAGGTGAGAAGCAACACAAACTGTTTAAACATCTGGGCAAAAGCAATGATCCTGTACCATTTGCAGTCCATTCCACTTTGAATAAGGTTATCATAAACATTCTTCCCAATAATACTGGCCCTCAGGTGGCTGAGTTTCTGTCAGTTTGGAAGTAAAATTGGGCTACACAAAATTTCTACGTAATTAGAGTACTTCCTAGGTAACTCAAGTTTCTAAGTTTGCAAAATAAATGAACAATATTTTTTAAAGAAAACAAAGAAAAAACACCCTTACAAGGAATTGTAAGTTTCCAGGATATACAAAATAGTGAGGTGTCAGTAAAGCCATGGGAAGGAAACTGAAGATGGCAGACAGGGAGATGAAATTGAACTAAGAAGCCTTTAATGAGTTACAGTAAGTATCCAGAAGAGGAGGATTAGGGATGTGAGTGAGCATGCTGTCAATTTACCGTATTTTTCGCTCCATAAGACGCACCTGACCATAAGACGCACCTAGTTTTTAGAGGAGGAAAACAAGAAGAAAAAATTCTGAATGAAACAGTGGATGTATGATTTTTGTGGTTCATGCTGTGGCCACAGGCATGTGGTCTGATGGTGAATTTGGGGAGACCCAATGCAAAAATCCTCAGGATCCATGTGGATCTGTGCTTTGTAACCAGATTTTTGCAGCATTGCAGCCCCAGGAAACAGTGGATGCGTGATTTTTTTTGGTGCACGTTGTAGCCATAGACATGCTAAGTGATCTGATGGTGAATTTGGGGTGATCCAATGTAAAAATCCTGAGGATCCATGGGCTTTTACCTCCCCTCTCCCAGGCAGCCTCCGCTAGCGTCCCTTGTCTCTCTCCCCGATCGCTTGCTGATTTCAACACTCCCTTCCCTCTTGTTTGCCTTAGTGTCTTTTCCTTAGCTGGAGCAGTTTTTTGCTCCTCCTTTTCTTCTAATTTCTCTCCTTATTGCTTTAGTCTTCCTGGTTTCCCCCTTTGCAAGTTTGCTGCCTTTACCTCCCTCCTCCCAGGCAGCCTCCTTTATCTCTAGCGTCCCTTATCTCTCTCCCTGATCGGCAAACGATCAGCGGCTTTGTTTCAATACCCACTTGCCTCCCCCCCCCAAAAAAGCATGATCTACTTTTTGCCCCTGGGCAATTCAGCTCCAGGGACCACACATTCGCTCCATAAGACGCACAGACATTTCCCCTCACTTTTTAGGAAGAAAAAAAATGTGTCTTATGGAGCGAAAATAACACCCTCTCCTGGAAGTATGCAAGAATAATTCAGGTGAAAGGAAAGCAATCTCTTTTTTTTATTTTCCCACTCCAGGGAATCCACCCCATGCTATATACCAGAACTGTTTTGGTTCCATGGTCCAAATCCTTATCAGGATCCACCATACTGACCAAATTTGATAGGTGGGGATATCCACCTTTCAGTTTCATGATGTCATGGGATTTGGTGCTTTGAAGTACCAGAGCGAGGACACTTTGCTCCAGTGGGCTTTGGCAAAGCACCGCCCTTACCTGTATGACATCAGGTATAGGGGGGGCCAGTATGTCTTGCCCAGAATGGCTTATGGGCCAAATAGAGAAGGGTGATGAGCCCAGATTGGCTCATGAACCAGAGGTTCCTTACTCTGCTGTATAGCTATGCAATGCTCAAGTTCTCAGCAACTCCAAAACTGAGCCCCTAGCATGGTGCGTTTATTTCATTCTTTATTTTGTTTGTTAGTCATTTTACACTAAAAAGTCTCAAAGTGAATTAACAAGATATAATACAAAAATAAAACCAATTAAAAACCAGAAAACATAAAACACTGTACCATATAAAAGATCCTAAGATGTTCACCCAACAACACAAATATAAAGGGTGAGTCCTGCCCTACCTCACTGTGTTTATCTTGTATATGTTTTAATTTTCTACTGAAACATCTCTGACTTGTATCCAACTAAGTCACACTGAGAGTAGACCCACTGAAATCAATGGACACGACCTGTTTAACCATCCACTGATTTCCATGGATCTGCTCTGAGTTTGTTTTAATTTGATACAACTCATTGACTGTAGCACTTGCACATCTACCTTTCAGTCCTGAAATTACCGTCTATATGTTTCTCTAGCATGCTTGTGTAATGTGTGAGATTCATGTGACAACTGAGAATACCTCATTGTTGTTTTGAAAAGCAAAGATGGCACACTGTTTTAAAAGCTGTTTCCTGCTTTTAGGTCACCTCTTCCAGAGTTCTGCTCCCTCCACCTCCACCCCAAGCAAACAAACCACCAGTTTCTGTTGTAAGTAATATTAAATGAAATAGTTATTGCTTAAAATATGGACCACAACAACACTGGAAACTAGAATTCTTCTGGAATTAATTGTTTGTGAATTGCAGCCTGAACTGGCCAATCAGACCAGCTGGATTAATGTACAGTGGTGCCCTGCAAGACGAATGCCTCGCAAGACGAAAAACTCGCTAGACGAAAGGGTTTTCCGTCTTGCGAGTTCTTGCGAGTTTGTTTCCTTTTTCTTAAAGCCGCTAAGCCGTTAATAGCCGCTAATAGCCGTGCTTCACAAGACGAAAAAACCGCAAGACGAAGAGACTCGCGGAACGGATTAATTTCGTCTTGTGAGGCACCACTGTACATATCAGTATACAGTTGTTCTTTGGATTTTACACTTCTCTGAATTTTGCTCAAGAATGTGCAAATGTGCATATTTTGTGATAAAGTAAAATAAATTTAGAAATGCATCCTTTGAAAAACTGTTCAAAAATATGCATTGAAATGCACGTTTTCATGTGGGTTTCTAACAAGAAAATTCACCAGATTAAATGCACAAAGGGGATGGAACAGAAAGCCTGCTAAATTGTCTCTGACCCAGATTAGATGGTACCATCCTTTCCTCCTAGTAACAGTAAAATCTAAAAAACCCCAGCAAATGTAATGCAATATGCAATCTACACAATTATATCTCATCATTCTGACAAGGAAATATATTTATACTAATGGTAATGCTTAAAAAAGAATGAAAACAATGTCAAAAATTCGCAATACAATTGTATGCATTTCTGGTCAGAAGTAAATTCCACTGCAATTAATGTGACTTATTTTAGAGTAAACATGTGTACTATTATGTTAGTTACTTTAAAACACACACACAACCACACACAAAAAATTAACATGTCACAGATAAACTTGAGGCAAAAACCTTCCTCCCCAGCATGGTGTTTTTCATGTTCATGGAAAATTTTGTTCTTTTAACCTGGGGAATGTTGAAACGTGTGTCTTTGTGATTTGTTGGGGTTCTAGAAAATCAGGTGGCATGAAACTTATTCAACTATTTCGCTTTATAGAAACACTAATCAAATGTTGCTTCCTATAATTCCTCAGCAAATTCCAGATGAACCGTGCAACCACATATCAACCATGTATCAAAATACCAGAATGGTAAGTTCCTAAATGAGCCCAAGAAGGATCCTTCTGGAGTGGGTGGAAAGCGGAATCAAGAGTGCTATTATTTCCCCACTAATATTGACCATTGGAGTTCCAGGGGGATCGTATGGCACCATTTCTCAACTTCCATATCTCAATCCATAGAAGAGTAAATAGGGTGTTAAATCCCATGTTTTTGAGGTCAAGGAAACAAATGGGCATGTTTTAACTGGCTGACAAATAGAGTATACTGAATCAGTAGTTTATTCAATCCAATTTATTTATTCCATTTATTCAAGGGTTGGACTATATGACTTTTTGGGCCCCTTCCAATTCTACAACGATTCTATGAGCCTAAAAGGGATGCAGGTGACAGTGTGGTCTTGAGCTTGCTGATCATGAGGTTGGCAGTTTGAATCTGCACGATGGGGTGAGCTCCTGTTGCTCTGTCCCAGCTCCTGCCAACCTAGCAGTCCGAAAGTATGCCAGCACAAATAAATAAATAGGTACTGGTAAACGGCATTTCTGTGAGCACTCTGGCTTTCGTCACAGTGTCCCATTGCGCCAGATGCAGTTTAGTCATGCTGGTCACATGACCCGGAAAGCTGTTTGCGGACAAACGCCGGCTCCCTCGGCCTGAAAGCTGAGATGAACGCCGCACCCCATAGTTGAATTTGACTGGATTTAACCATCCAGGGGCCCTTTACCTTTTTACCTGTTTACACAATTGTGGGATGCTTGTCTAGATGAATAAAACAATGAGTTGGACTTCCAAAGCCATTTCACCCTGAGTCAGCCCATTGGTCCCTGCAGCCCAGTATTGTCTACAGTATACAAAGGCTGGGGAACCACTTTTGTCCAGTGAGCCAGATCATCTAGAGCCACTCCTCCACAGGCCACTTTTGATTGGTGGGTAGCTCCATGCACCTGTCAGTCACCTGCCAGCATATGACATCAGGTGAGCCTGCTGGAAAGCAGCAGGGCTTGTACCCGGTGCTGAATTTAAACAGTTCTGAATGCAAAAGCTATTGCCAAGGAAAAATTGGAAACACATGCCTGTGCTCATGATTGTTCCTTGGCAGCTTAGGTTTTACCTCCCCCACTCCAGTAGTTATATGGCATCTGGTGAGTGGGCATGGCTCGCTTCAGCGAAGGTTTTCTTATAATAGAGTTCACATAGCTTGTTGCATGGCCAGCGCACAGTAGTCGTCCCTTTGAGTAGTGCCTTTTATGTGCACAGATCACACATCTACACCACCAATCTATATAGGTTTTATCTGTGGCGGATCTTGGGGTCTTAGGTTCAGCAGCGCCCTGTGTGACGCAATAGTTCAGTGTCCCCGGCCTCTTGCGCTCTATTCTAAATCATAGTTTCAGCATCCCCTATGGTGTCCCCAAGGCTCTATGCCCAGTGTGACTGAACCAGTTGTGCTCCCCTAAATCCACCTCTGGTTTTATACCAATTTAATTGTTACAGCTTACTGCAAAGAATCCAGGGCATTGTTGTTTGGTGAGATTGCTGAGAATTCTCTGTGAAGAGTGCCCTCTCCTCTCCTAAAAGAACTGCTGTTTCCAGAGAAAAGGAAATGAATGTTAAATTGGTATAAGTCTATGTTGCCCACATAAGCCCTGACAACAAGCACACTTAGCTGGCAATTGCTGCAGACAGCTGAGTCAAATTCTGAGTATGAGCAAAACACAGAAAGCACCGCTCCTGCCTTGTTTTCTGTCCCCTAAAAAATTGTGCCTTCTTCAGATACCCTTGCTTGTTGTCTTGATATCTTTGTTGCTTACTGTGCGGAAATGTTTTAGATAATCTCCTGTTTTCTTTTATTCCAGCCAATTGTAAAGCCAAACATTCCTCCACCTCCAATTCCAACTGCCAAGACAGGGTTTTCTTCTGTCAACAGCAATGCAGTAAGTAATTGCTTCAGGATTTTCTCTCTCCTTTCTAAGTGAATGCTGGTGCAACTATCACCAGTGTGAATCTTCTTCAGTCAACTAGTTGTCCATTTTTACTTTTTCCCAGAGAGAGAGGCTGCAGTTAGAAAAAATGGCAGAGGTAGTTCAGATGCCATTACCCCCAAAGTTAATGAGGCCCCCTGTTAACTACAGAAGCAGCCTCAAATCCTGATTTCAAATCCTGGTTAAGGGGGAACCTTGGAAAAGGTTGACAGGAAAAAATTCAGCCAGATTACAGGTGGAGCCTGCGGTCCTATGCCTCCCACCCCACCCTGCTTTTTGAATGTGAATTGGTTGTAAATCTCCTTGAGATTTTATTTATTTATTCATTGCATTTATTTATTCATTGCATTAAATCTCCTTGAGAATTTGGGTTGCATCCAACTAAGTTCTATTCAGGGTAGACTCACTGAAATTAATGAACCTAAGTTAGCCACACCCATTAACTTCAATGGGTCTTCTCTGACTGGTATTGGATATGCATCCCCCCTTTTAAATAAAGTTTCCAAGAAATGCAAATCATCCTCACTCTCTGCTTTTAAGACTGCCGTTTGTTTTTACCTTATTTTGTACTGTGCTGATTTTGTGCACTTTTGCAGAAGGCAGGATAAATCTTCATTATGATTAATATTGCATTTATTTATTCATTGCGTTAATATTAATTAGAATTGGAATTTTCAAATAAGCTCCAAATAAGCTGCCTGGGTGGGTTGGTTGTGTTGAAGAGAGAAAAGGGGGTGACTGACATCTGATCAGGAAAATGTGGCACTTCTCTTACAGGCAGCAGCGATGACGGCAACTCCTTCTCCCCACTTCAAGCGTAAGACAGCTCCTCCACCTCCGCCCCAGGTAAGGAGCACCAAGATCCACAAGGAAGATGCTGAGCTGCAGAGTGTCCAGTCGCCCGCTGTTGGAGGCAGGGTGTCTCTGAATGATGGCTGCTGGGAGCAGCAGGTTGGGAGTGTGCTGTTGTGCTCAGGTCTGGCTTCTGGGCTTCCCCTAGCTTGGCCACTGCAAGGACAGCATGCTGGGCAAGAAGGACCCTGTGGCCTCATCTCTCAGGGGAAGACCCAGCAGCCATTTTCTTCATTCCTGTGGCAATGTGCTCAACCATAACCTTTTGTTCCCTGAGGCAAAAAACGTGTGCGTTGCACCTGAGGGAAGGAATCCATTTGGGGAGCATAGGGCAGGCTATGCAGGCCTGCAAGCAGAACCTGAGCACAAGCGCGCTCTCCCCACTGCAATTCCCAGCAGATGTTGTTCAGAGCCATGGTGCCCCAACAGTGTGCATAGGACACAGCCGTTGTGGCTAATAGCTGTCTAGTTTTCTTTTAAAGCCATCCAAGTTTGTGACCATCCCTACCTCTTGTTCAAGGGAGAAAGGCAGGAATAATTTGAGGATGTGGCACACCACAAAAATGGATGGTGGAGATGTATACATACATACAGGCCCCACTTACTGAGCACAATGTGTTTCCTACAAATCATTCAGTATGCAAGTGTTTACATGAGTCCACTATTTCTACGTATAAAGGTAAAGGTACCCCTGAGCATTAGGTCCAGTTGTGGCCGCCTCTGGGATTGCGGTGCTCATCTCACTTTACTGGCCGAGGGAGCCGGCATACAGCTTCCGGGTCAGGTGGCCAGCATGACTAAGCCGCTTCTGGTGAACCAGAGCAGCGCACGGAAACGCCGTTTACCTTCCCGCCGGAGCGGTACCTATTTATCTACTCTACTTTGACGTGCTTTCGAAATGCTAGGTGGGCAGGAGCCGGGACTGAACAACGGGAGCTCACCCCAGTCCGGGGATTCGAACCACTGACCTTCTGATCGGCAAGGCCTAGGCTCTGTGGTTTAACCCACAGCGCCACCTGCGTCCCATCATTTCTACGTATACCTATGGGGAAATTTCTAATGTGTTCCTGACCATGGAATTTTGACCCCGCCCCCCCAAAGCCAAGAAAACCTGGGAAAGTCTAGAAAAAAGGCTCACTAATTTGTCTTATCACTACCCCTCCCTCCCTCCATTCCTCAGCTAACCAACAAAAGGCAAACAAGGAAGTAAAAGGTGCTTTCCGTCTGGATAGCTGAATCTGTGGGATCTGCATGTGTGTACAAATATATCAGAGCAAAGGTGAAGAGCATATATCAATCTACGTAGCCAGAGAAATATGATGGAGGACTTTCATTTTTTGTTTTTTGTTTTTAAGATGCTATTTTCACACTTCTTATCAATTTGTATGTATAATGATTTTATTATTGCTTTTATTGGGCTTTTATGCAAGCTGTCTTGAGCACCTCCATTTTTGTATAACTAGCTTAATCAAACTAAAATAGCTAAAAAAATAGGTAGTGTGCTTAGGACTGCGACATGGAGAAACTTGAGAAACTTTGTTTTTCTTTTCTTTGACTTCAGCATCTCTTTGCTTTTGTCTTAGGCATTGAAGCCCCCAGGTAACCCCAAGATATGAAGCAAATGAAGGACCAAACCAAATACTGTTCTCCAGTTTCAAGGAACCTTCCCCCCCATCACCAATCCCCATGGCTTCTCCATCTGTGAAGAATACAGAACAAGCGTTGTTTTAAAAGGTCTAATGGTTTTGTCTGCAAAAGGAACTGAAGTATTTGTGTTCAAAGTATTGTTGCCTGCAACCCTCCTGACTCTTCAGCAAGTAACCGAAAGGTGCAATATTCAAGCATTTTGCAATATGTCTGTAGTGATAGAATCATGATTTAGGAGATCCTGGTACAAAAGAAACGGTGAACTGAGCCACGTAGTTTTAAGCAATGAAGTTTCTTTCTGGGCCAGTGGTCTCCAGGCCAGTTGTGATCGCCCATCACTGCCATCTGTGGACAAGACCTGAGGTTTTTGGAGGCTGCTCAAAGCTTTATGGGATTAGGAGTGGGATTTTTCCCTGACTACTGAACTGCTCATCTTATTTTCGTGGAGTGAGACACACCACCATGCCTTGAACAATCCCTCAAAACAATGCAGGCTATTAAAATGGGGAAAAGGCAATCAGTTTGACCCTTCTCTCCACCTTGATGCATCCACAAACCATCACTTTCTCAGGATGCTCAGACTCCAAATCTCTTGTGCTTCACACATTTACTGCTAAACAGCTTCCATAATGTGCAATGGTACTAGTGTTGCCAGCTTCTTTTACCAGCACTGCTCCTGTGCATTTGACAACAGCTTGATCTGCAGATATGTGCAGGTGACTGTGTTTCTCTCTCAAATGCTGATTCTTTCAATCCAAGCTGTTGTTAAAGGCAGAGGAGCAGGGCAGTTGGCAACCCTAAATGATAGAGGCATACTTGTTAGCACTTGCTTAGACTAGAGTTCCATTTTAAATAGTTTATTTATCATAGAGTGTAAACTTAAGAAACACTACTATTCAAATGCTCACATATGCTTTAAGCACCTGATTTGTATGTGGCTGTGAAATAAGTTGGAATACAACAGTATATTCTTTCTTTTTGAAGGACCTTAACTCTATGAAAAGGTCAGTAGTGAAATGATTACTGTAGAAATTAGCGGGGGAGCAATGGGATTCAATGTACATCGTGCAATATCAAAAAAATCAGGTACACCAACACAACTAGAAGTATAGACTTGTTAGGTCAGAAGAATTACCTTTCACTGTTTTTTGATAAGGATTCTCCATTGCTCGCTCTCTCCTCACACAGAACACTGTGTGCCCACAGTTTGCTTACTTTTCAGTTAATTCATGTCTCCTTCCCTCTGCATCACCAAAGCAAGCATGATGTGATCATAGGCACAGTTGCATCAAGATTCCTTGGGATACATGCATGCGTCAGTAACACACCCTGCATTGTGTTAGGGATGGGATCATATCAGGATTGCTTTTCTGCAGTGTTTTACTGAGAGATATGCACATCAGGACCAGAAAAGTGGTAGACAGAAGATGCATATGAACCAAAACAAATGGTGTGGTTTGATTCTGAAATTAATTACAGATTTTTCTCTGGTTAAATTGGAATTTGGAAAGAGCAGAACTCGGGGCTGGCTGGAACAGAAATGCCACCAGAGCAGGACTTTAGGGCAGGTGACAGGGGTTTGACTCAGCAGAAGGAACATGACTGCAGAAGGGCTGGTTTAACCACATTTTGAAGTAAGCACATTACAACGTAAAACCAGGGAACAGTCTAAATTGCCTAACTGGAAAGCTCACCTAAATTCCTTGACCCGCAAGCTGTACAGAGCTCTCTGAAGGAAGATCAGGTCGAAATAGTAATCTGTGAAATTAAAGGATACCACACAAGGCACAGAATCAAAAATCCATAGCACGTGTCTCTTCGTGGACCAGCATTCTCAACCACCTGTTCATGTTTTTTGTTACATTCACAACACAGATAAGACCTCAAAATTCCGTATTTCTGATACAGTCTTCAAATTTGAGCACAATGCTTGTCACCAGGCAAAGAGTACAATCAGAATACTGTGCATACAGAGAGCTGTAAGATGGTCTTTATTTATTAATAGTTCAGATGCAACCAGAGTTTGGGCCTTAAATACAAGAGTTGTGAATGTGGAGTCATGGTGAACATTTATGGAAAAGCAGCAGCAGCAGTGGGAAAGGAAGTTAACCTTCCTGCTGCTTTTTCTCTGCAGCCAGCGCCAGATTCAGGGTTTGCGGACAATTCCTCCCCACAGGGCACTGAGCAGACAGGGCACAAAACTGAGAAGATCCATTTGGGGGACAGAAAATTTTAGCCTTGCACATGACACCATGTTACAAAAGATTACCAACCCCACCCCTTCTGTAGCCCCTTCTAATCTAGTATCCCCACTGCTTAGCTCAGAGGTAATAGAGTGGCAAGTGTGTTTGAGAAAGAGAGTGATTCCCTGCAAGCAGAGCAAATAAAGCAAAGAGACAAGTTGGTCACAACATTTCCCTGGGTGTGCTGCTTTTCTGCTTGCAAGGGAGTGCTTCAACATGGAGAACACACTCAAATGGCACCTGACTCCCACCTTCAGCCTCAAGTAGTCCCGTCTATTCTGCCATCCGCTTCAGGGCTCTACCACCTCATCCCGCTGCTTGTGGACATTAAGCCTTAGAGATCAGGTCTCTTGGCCTGAGGAGAAGGAGCAGGCAGGCAAGAAGAGGGAAAGCAGGGCTAAAGGAATCATTGGGCATCACCATTTCTCCCTTTCGGCTGTCCCTGCCTATGAGCCAGACACAGAAATAGAAGATTGCCAAGTTTCAGCTACAAGTCACATTTTTAGAGAGTTATAATGTTTAAACATAAAGATAAAGCCACCGCCCTGTCAACTCTCTACTCTGCTTTTAAAGCTCAGGTGTCTGGGGGCGGCATCCCTGCTGCCTTTGCTGATGACACAGCATTATCAGTCAGTTGCCTCTTGTTTTTCTGTCAAGGACACATTCCAGGCAGGAAAAGGGCTCATGGAAGGTATGGAGCAGACCCACTGTCTTTAGCAGCATATAGGGAATCTTCTGCAGTTGTACTCTCAGATGCATCCTCCATGCATTTCAAAGGGGGCAGGTCAAGAAATTTTCTTGCTAGCTCATATCCCTTTTCTCCAGCCACGAGTTTTCTATTGATTATTTCTTCTGTGCTGTGTTTCCCCACCCCACCTTGGTGGAGCTATTTTTTAAATGTACTGTAAGTGATTTTGCGGGATGTGGGTGGCGCTGTAGGTTAAACCACAGAGCCTAGGACTTGCCGATCAGAAGGTCGGCGGTTCAAATCCCTGCCACGGGGTGAGCTCCCGTTGCTCAGTCCCAGCTCCTGCCAACCTAGCAGTTCGAAAGCACATCAAAGTGCAAGTAGACAAATAGGTACCACTCCGGCGGAAAGGTAAACGGTGTTTCCGTGCGCTGCTCTGGTTCGCTAGAAGCGGCTTAGTCATGCTGGCCACATGACCTGGAAGCTGTACGCTGGCTCCCTCGGCCAATAAAGCGAGATGAGTGCCGCAACCCCAGAGTCGGCCACAACTGGACCTAATGGTCAGGGGTCCCTTTACCTTTACTTTTTAAGTGATTTTGCATCTGGTGAATGGAGATTTTGAAATGTTATATTGTTATCTATGGAGAAAGTGTATTTACAAATATATCTGTATTTAAAATGTTATTATATAAAGTCTAAACTTTTCCGGGGGAGACAAAACCCCCGCAGTAGAATATCTTGTCTATTTATCCATCATTTTATTTTCTTTAAATTGCTTCTGTGCCAATTTACATTTCTGAAAAATGTCTACGTTTATGACCCTATCTCAGCATGGCAAATAGAGAACGTTGCAGAATGTCAAAACAAAGCCTTAAGCATGAAAAATAAAATTAATATTGACCCTTAAAGCAGCACAATTAACGGGGGGGGGGCATACACACACAAAACATTCTATATTTTGTTTTCATTTGTAATGTAACAAATGGTGTGGAATACAAATGTGTTATTGTATTGTGGCGATTTGAAGGACTTATGGTGCTCCAGATCCAACACAACTCAGCCCAGGTGTGTGTGCCACTGGGTGAGACGGGAGTCATGCTATTGTGCTATCCTTCCTCTCTGCATTCCCCCACTCACTGCTTTCACTAGGCTGAAGAGCCCTCTCCCCACTTGGGATTCTGAGCATATTGCTGTGACAGTGGAGGCAGAACATGGCCTTCCCCTCCATTATTTTGTCTAATCCTCTTTGAAAAGCATCCAAGTTGGTGCCCATCACTGCTTGTGGAAGTGAATCCCATAGTTTAACCAAACACTGTGTAGGAGAAGTACAGTGGACCCTCTAGTTACATGCCGCTCTGGATACATAACTTTCGGATTATGAATGCAGCAAACCCGGAAGTGTATACTTCCATGTTTCACCACGCCTGCATGTGCAGAAATGCTCAATCGCGCTGCGCACATGTGCAGAAGGAGGACCTCTGCCTATGGACTTTTTGGGTTGCAGATGGACAGGGCCGTCTTAAGCATATCCAGTGCCATGGTGCAAAGCTTCCTCTGGCGCCGCCGCCCCCCCCCCCCGTTTCCCAGAGTTGTCGATCTCCAGCAAGGCTGGAGGAGGCGGGCAGTGGCTGGAGGGTGGCTCCTCTGGTGGAGGCTGGATGCGGCACCTCCCGGCTCAGCTGGCCGCTTTGTGCTGCGGTGGCCATGGCAGGCAGAGGCTCCAGGTACGGCGCTGCTTTGGCGCGGCATGGCAGAGGCAGGCAAGGGTGGCGAGCTGATGCCGGGAGCCACCGCATCCAGCCTCCACCTCTTCCCTGGCACCCTATGCCACTAGCCTCTATGGGCAAGACGCCCCTGTGGATGGACCCCCAGAACGAATTTAATTTGTATCTGGAGTATCCAATGCACTTTCTTTTGTGTGTCCTGGATTTTGATCAGCTTCAATGGGTGTCCTCAGGTTCTAGTGTTAAGAGAGAGGGAGAAAATGCTTAACTCTGTCCACGTTCTCCACACCACGCACAACCGTGTATGGAACAATTAAAACCATTTCAA